GAAACTAATCCTCATAAATCAAGCATTAGTTTTTAGCAAGAGCCGACTCAATTCCAATACTGGTTTGGTTATACAATTATTAATTAACTGGCTTCACAATGCTAATTTTATGGTGTAGGGGAGCCAAAGGCAATTCCATGGACCAATGTAACTCCTTTCAAGGCTGCAGCAGATGCATGGTGCCACATGGACATCCGCAGGGGAGATGTTGTTGCTTGGCCAACAAACCTTGGATGGATGATGGGTCCTTGGTTAGTGTATGCTTCATTGTTAAATGGTGCTTCCATTGCACTTTATAATGGATCTCCCCTTGGTTCTGGCTTCGCAAAGTTTGTACAGGTACATGTTTGTTGTGATTGGTGTTCGTATAGCATTAATATGATGTCTCTTTCATCCTTAAGTTTGCTGATCTCTTTATCTGAAATGACGGTAAACTAAAATATAGGAAACCTTAGAATTATATGTAAATGGGTTTGTCTAACTCGTGCCTTTAGCGCACAAGTTAGAAAAACCTTATGTAAATATTATCATTCAAGAAAAATAGGAAAGATTAAATACTAAATTTCATGACTATTTTTCTTCCATGGAAGTTCTGATCATCCTTTATAATTAACTATTTATAAATTCCTTCTTGAGCTTGACGTCATCAACATTAATCATTCAGATAATAGATATGGCCATTTATTGTATTCTTTTGGTAAAAGATGATAGCATAATGACTTAAACTAAAAATCTATATCAACCCATCTCCTTACCAGTGACCATTTAATTGACAAAGAAATGATCTGCTAAATCAGATAATGAGAATTTACTATTTTTGTTCATCAAAATTCAATACTTATTTCCCTCCTTTTGCAATGTGGTTAGGATGCTAAGGTAACAATGCTAGGTGTCATCCCAAGCATTGTCCGGACATGGAAAAGTTCAAACTGCGTTGCTGGCTATGATTGGTCTGCCATCCGGTAAGTGTAAGTTCCAAATTTTTTTTATCTCCGGCTTGCTTGTTCCACTGATTATGAAGTTCCTTACAAGTATATGCGAGCAAGTGCTTGCATCTTCTGTCATTGATCAAAAGTCTAGGTGTTGTTTGTTTTGCTTCTATATTGATTGTTTCCTTCTGTACTTTTCATTTTATAAACTGGTAGTTGTTTTGCCTCCACTGGTGAAGCATCTAATGTGGATGAGTACCTATGGCTGATGGGGAGAGCTTATTACAAGCCTATCATCGAATATTGTGGTGGCACTGAAATTGGTGGTGGTTTTGTTACTGGATCATTATTACAGCCACAGTCATTGGCTGCTTTTAGTACACCGGCTATGGGTTGCAATTTGTTTATTCTTGGTGATGATGGTCTCCCTATTGTAAGTGCTAATCGACCATTACCCTAATCTAACCAAAGATCAATTCTTAGATATTGTAGCAAAGCTGCAGTATATGCACACTACACACTTCTAGAATGCATGTTCTTCAAATAAAGTTATAGGTTCTCTTCCACCAGCCCATGCATTGATTTATGAGTTTAGGAAAATGATATTTAACTTTACCACATCAATAATCATCTGTTTCAAAACTTTGTTTCTAAATAAGAAATATCACCAACACTAAAATGCAGCAATAGTCTTCCAGCACTTCATGAGTTTCAATAGGGTCCTCGACCTTTTTAACTGTTAGTGATTGCAAGGCAACATTACCTGTTCAGCATACTATTTTACGAGTTCAGTTGAGGAATCAGTTGAAACTTTGCAAAATTATGTTTTCAAGTAGACTGGTTTCTGCATCTTTGATATATGATATGCTGATTTCATTTATTATCAACATGTCCAATTTCTTATTGAAATTTTCCCATTCTTTTTTCCATTTTTTTATGCAAAAAGTCAGTCACTGAAACTAATGGCTTCAACCTTTTTAATTGCAGCCTCCAAATGTGCCAGGGATGGGGGAACTGGCCCTTGGTCCCCTAATGTTTGGATCTTCAAGTACATTATTGAATGCAGATCATTATGATGTATACTGTAGAGGAATGCCTTTGTGGAATGGAAAGGTGAGAAATTTTGCATCTCCACCACCCATTTGGTGCGTTATCTTGTCTATTTTAGTTTCTTTTTGGTAATTTAATTCTTGTCAATCTTTTATGAATGACCTTTTGAGTGGCAAACTAAAAATTATTTTCTCTCCCCCTTTGGTTTTATTGTATTGTCTAGCTAGCTAAATATATGAACTAAATGCAGATTCTAAGAAGGCATGGGGACTTTTTTGAACGGACCTCTAGAGGATACTATCATGCACATGGTCGTGCTGATGACACAATGAATCTTGGAGGTATCAAGGTAACCATCTTAAATTACAAGAACAGGGATTTGATCTGGAGCATACATGAAATGTTCCTGCTATTTGATGAATCAGCTTTCCCCAATTTCGTTTCTCCACTGCAGTCACTTTTTGTATCAATATCTTGCAAGATACTTGTGAAAGCAGAAAAAAAGAATAAGGGAACATAAATTAAGAACTATTTATCCACTGGATTGACATTTGACAAACAGACAACCTTGACTAATTTTAGTCTGTTTGAGCAGGTTAGTTCTATTGAGATTGAGCGCATTTGTAATGGAGCTGATAGCAGTGTCCTTGAAACAGCAGCCATTGGGGTGCCACCTCCCGATGGTGGACCTGAGCAATTGGTAATTGCTGTTGTATTCAAGGATTCAGATCAGTCAACACCAGAGTTGAGTCAGTTGAGATTGTCTTTTAACTCAGCAATCCAGAAGAAACTCAATCCATTGTTCCGAGTATTAACATCTTCCCTTCATGAAGTTGCTTTTTCCTTTAGGAGCTTAAATGATTTAACACTGACATGCTAATCAAATGTTGAAACACGTAGGTATCTAACGTCATACCCCTCTCATCTCTTCCAAGGACAGCAACAAATAAGGTAATGAGAAGGGTTTTGCGGAAGCAATTTGCTCAAGCAGATCAGAATGGTAAACTATAGAAGATGCTGGTTTTCCATTACCAATCTGCTTTCCTTTCATTGAAATTGATGATATTATTGTACAATACATTTCTTCTGATCCTCAGAGATGAAATAAGTTGTCCCATGATTAGAATATTCGTTTGAGGAATCATAATTGCCGGCATTTGTGCTTTTTTACATGCTACATTCTGAGCAGGCAAAACTTCCAGGGAAGCAAAGCCAATGAAAAAAGGCTTTAAGTTTCATCAAAGTTAATTGTAGAATCAGCAACATTCTGTAAGCTGAATCATAACTAGCTGCATTATGGTGTATGAGGGGAATTTGAAAGGTTTCCCAAAATTTTCAGACAGTGTTCATTCATGATGTTGATGACAACTCTTCATGGTGTGCAAAGGTTTTATACGCTTCAGTGTGACATGCAGTGATTTCTAATGTGTTATCTTTTAGCAATTATGCCGATCAAACATAATGCTTAGGGATGGGCTTTTTTGGTCTTTTTAGTTCAAAGATGTCTCTCTCTCTCTATCTTTTTTTTTTTTTTTTTTTTTT